CTTAGCAATTTAATTTCCAGTATTTACACAATACAAATATTTGCAAAATCGTTAAAAAATATAGATAGATCCATGTTTACAGCAAAATTGTAAATCATTTGTAAGCTCTTTTTAAAACACTCAAAAAATATAGAAATCTACAAAAGTATCTGCAAATTTCAATTCCTCCAGAGATACCTACTATTAATGATTTAGTAGATATTTTGCCAAGCTTTTTTATGCATACTTTTTTCTAAAAATGAGATGTTTTTATATACTGTATATATAAGGTATATTTTATATACTTTATATAGTATATATGTTGCTCTGCAATTGCTTTTTTTCACTTAACATTTTTTTGAAGACATCCTTTTATACCAACTTATATGAAACCTATGTGAAACTCACTAACTTCACAATATTTTGATATTGGATGAGGAACCATGTATATTTAATGAATTCCTTCTTGAAGGATTTTTAGGTTAAGGAGAGTACAATTTAATATAGCCAGGTTATAGCTCAAAAAGAAATGCCTACTCTTTAAAAATTGCTTGCCCACATCAACTTTCTTTACTTGAGGATTTATTTAATCATTTCTTAAAATGATCCAGAGCTCTTCAATTTTCCCTATACGTTTTTCCTACTGGATTAAGGCATGAGGGCCTTATTCTTGGCCAGAAATCACAAAACCAACTAAAATATACATCCTGAAACACAAATGCACCCAGATGTCTGTTTTTTTAGGACTGTGAAAATGTACATTCACACAAGACTGTGGCATCCCTTAGAACCACAAGTCTGTTGTTTTCTATAGAAACCAGTAGGCATCCTGCCAACCTGAGGCCCATCCTGGAACTTGTCAGCACCTGTTCTTCTTGTCGTCTCTTATGGCCCATCCTTCCTTCTGTTTCTATCCCCAACACCCTGACTTGCAAGGACAAGAACAGCAAGCAGGTGAGTCACCCTTGCGGCTAGGAACACAGAGCATCTGGGAACACAGAGCATCGCATTACTTAGAGGGAGAGGCAGGGCTCTGGAGAACTCAGCCCAAGGCGGAAAACATC